TGCATTGGAGTGGTTAGATGCTGAGCCTCACGCTAGCATTACTACATGGGAAGAACTAATCAGGAAGTTCTGTAATAAATTTTTCCCACCAGCGAGGGTAGCTAAAATCAGATTAGAAATTCAGACTTTTCAACAGAAAGAGGGAGAAAGCTATCACGAAGCATGGAATAGGTTTAATGAGTTGATGAGAAAATGCCCAAACCATGGAATTACTATAGGTAATCAAGTGCAGTACTTCTACACTGGACTTACACCACTGTCAAAATCTCAAGTCGATGCCTCAGCTGGAGGATCAATTATAGGAAAATCTGTGCAGCAAACCATGGAACTGTTTGAGTTGATTGCCACTACACATTCTATGTTCTCATCGGAAAGAGTGGCGCCACCGAAGACAGGAGGAATGTATGAGTTAGACAGCGCAGCAGCTATCAACGCCCAAATAGTGGCATTGACAAAACAAGTGGAGTTATTGGTGAAATCACAAACGAAAGGAGCACATGCAGTGACAGCTGGTCCATCATGCGAGAACTGCGGGGCTAATCATCTGACAGAAAACTGCACATCTATAGGCTATCCCGACGAGCAGGTCAATTTCATTCAGAATGGGTCTCGAAATCTTAATCCATTTGCTCAAACATACAACCCAGAATGGAGACAGCACCCAAATTTCAGATGATCAGATAATCAACAAGGGAACAGTTCAAATAATGCCCAACAAGAGAAAAAACCAAGTTTGGGGGAGATGTTCAACCAGTATATGCAGAAGACTGACAAGGTGTTTCAGCAGATTGACACAAATTTTCAGAATTAGCAAGCATCAATCAAGAAGTTGGAAACACAAATTGGTCAAATAGCTCAACAGCTTGCAGAACGCCCACAAGGGACATTGCCAGGAAATACAATGGTCAATCCAAAAGAGCAAGTGCAAGCTATAACTACCAGGAGTGGGGTGCAACTTCCAGAAATTCATGTGAAGAGACCTGAGCGAAAAGAAAAGGAAAAAATGGGTGAAGAGGCTGGGAAAGAAATAGAGTTTGAACAACCAACTGACAAGGAAAATGAAAGGAAGGAAACACCTGCAGTGAGAGCACCCAGCCCTGTGAAGGCTTATGTGCCACCAATTCCATTCCCTCAAAGGTTACAAAGAAAGAAGTTGGATAATCAGTTTGCCAAGTTTGTGGAGATTTTCAAGAAACTGCACATCAATATTCCTTTTGCAGACGCAATTGCCCAAATGCCCAGCTATGCAAAATTCTTGAAAGAGATCCTATCTAACAAAAGGAAGCTGGAAGAACATGAGACAGTATGTTTGAACGAGGAGTGCAGTGCAATACTATTGAGAAAGCTACCTCCTAAGCTAAAAGACCCAGGGAGTTTCACTATACCTTGCACAATTGGTTCTAATTTCTTTGAACATTCTTTATGTGATTTAGGTGCCAGTGTTAATTTGATGCCTCTCTCTGTCTACAAGTCTCTTGGATTAGGAGAAGCAAAACCTACAACAATCTCTTTGCAACTGGCAGACAGATCGATCAAACGACCAAAGGGAATTATTGAAGATGTGCTGGTTAAAGTCGACAAATTTATTTTTCCGGCTGATTTCATCATTTTGGACATGGAAGAGGACTCAAATATTCCTCTGATCTTGGGAAGACCGTTCTTGGCTACT